AGGTCCCTCCTTTCTTTCTTTCCTCAAAAGCTTCAGGGAAGACTGAGCTACTCATGTTGTTCCCTCCTTCTCTGTGTTCCTGTGTCCTGACAGCTGAGAAATGATGCAGCATTTGTTCCACTGCAGAATGAAATATGAAATCCCATAAAGCCGCCTCACTTATTAGATGGTTCTCAGCAAGCTGCTTATTATGCGCCGTGGCATAATGCAGATTACAAATGTGACCAAATGATAATTAGCGAAGCTGGAGTGGCAATTAGCATTCTTCTGCGGAGTGCTGATTACCTTTCAAAGTAGAAAGCAGCTGAACAGTTTGCAGACTTGCAACTACCCTGACTCTGTCTCTAAACACGCCAAGAAGTGCCCCAACTCTGCCTTCAGGGTGATGTGGTGGTGAACCAGTTTCCATCTTCCAAGATGAATAGACTGTCCTTGGTTCCTTGCCAAATGTTCTGCTTCAGTGTGCAAGAAGGAGGGAACATCTGCTCGGGATTAGAGAACAGGGTTTTCTGGAGCAACCGATTAGTTCCATTCCCTTTTCCCACAAGGAACAAGCAGAGGTGTCCTGTGCATTCTCTGGCAGCGTGACTTTGGTGTTTGGCTGGCAGTACTAGGACCCATCTTAAAGCCTTTCCGTGAGAATCATTCCAGCAGGCGGAAATGCTAGGAAGTATTGATGGTTACACACAGTCCCAGGGCTGCCATTAGAGCTGTCACTAGAAATAAGGTCAAAAGTGCTATGTGTCTTAGACTATTGTGAGGCTGGTGTATTGTCTCAACAAGGAAATTCTCTGTTGGCTTCAGAGAGAAGGATTTGGCTGTCCCTCCTGAATCTTTCTCTACAATCAGACACCTGGAGTTTTGACAAGTGTGTTGTAAGTAATATTCATCTAGTCTTTCAATAGCCCATTTCTTTTTTCCCATTTGCATGCTAGTTTTGAGTGTGGAGCCTGAGGAAACTAAAAAGGGATGCCTTCTATGGGTACACTCATAGGGGCCAGAGCTCCTGTGCAGCACAATATGAGACAGTATTTTCCCTCTTCCAGCACAAAGGACTTGGAAGGAAGGGGCATTTGACGTTCCCTGAGCATACGCACTGCTTTTGTCTGCACCAACGCCTCATTCTTGCTAAGATGCTCAGCAAGTGCATCTTCAACCTGCAGCTGGGCTTTGAAAGGGCTCTCACAGGATAAAAGACTCCTCCACACACACACACGTACACTCTCTCTTTCTCTCACACACACACACACGTACACTTTTGATGGTTACACTTTAATTAGAAGCTAGAGAATCATTTAAAAATATCAATACTAAATTCATCATAGACACATAATAATAATAATAATAATAATAATAATAATAATAATTAATTAATTTATATGACCATTTCAGACTAGAACACGAGTAAAAGCAGGCAAAAAGGAGAACACATAAGTCATGCCTGATTCTCGGTATCATGGTTTAGAGCAGTGGTTCCCAACCCTTTTTTGACCAGGGACCACTCTCCAACATTAGTACCAAAAGGGTTACCAATCCATTTTTGGCCAACTTTAGATTTGGTTTGGTTACTTGGGGTGCTGATTCAGAGAATTGCATTGGATAGACCACATCAGCTCTAGTTTCTGATACAGAACATATGCCATCCAGTAGTCGCCATCTGCTTGCCCACAGAAAATCATATTTAATAAGCCTCGGCACTATAAGAGGGTTTCATGAGAGAGTTGGTCTCGGTGTAACAGTGAGGCTGTGGACCATATTTTAGTTCTTGCAGACCACCGGTGGTCCACGGACCACAAATCAGTAAACACTGGCTTAGGGCAAGAATGGGTAACAGATTCTGCAGATATTGTTGGATTCCAGATTCCAGTAACTATACAGCATGGCCAGTGATGAGGAATGGTGAAATAGGCATCCATAAACAATTTCTAGGGGGGCAAAATTGCCTACCCTTGAGAACATGCCATGCTTTCTGGCCTCTCCATTTCTGTATTCAAGAAAATCCTGGCCAATTTTGACATTCAAATCAAGGGTTAATATTCCAGTCATGATTTGAATATTGACACTAACCTTAATTACCTGTTTAGGAATTTCTTCTAATTGCACCATGGTTTAATTGGCTACAGTCTTGTAGACTGAAGTCTTATCTAGATGTGAATAAAATATATGGGGGAAATGGCGATATAAATAAACCCTATATGTATATAAACATCTAGCCTTACAAAATCCTGGCTAATTTTGACATTCAAATCAAGGGTTAATATTCCAGTCATGATTTGAAGACTGACACTAACCTTAATTACCTATTCTCCTAATTGCACCAAACTAGTTTAATTGGCTACAGTCTTGTAGACTTCAGTCTTATCTAGATGTGAATAAAATATATGGGGGAAATGGCGATATAAATAAACCCAATATGTATATAAACGTCTAGCCTTCCTTCTCCTGGCATGCTTGTTTTCTAATGTGTAGGAATGCTTTTCCACAAGAGAGCATGCGGTTTGCAAATGGAGGTTTGTAGGAGAGAACTGATATGATCAAGACCCAGGCTTACCGCCTTTGAGAGAACTAGGCCAGAGGCTCAGCTACCTGCTTGGACAGATGGATCCAGCTCAGTCACTGCAGATTAAATTGGTAGCCAGTATTAAACATTTATCAGATTGGATTTGCTTTGTGCAGCTGTCCAGAGAAAGGATGTACACAGAAAGAGAAGGAACCAAATGCAGGCAAGCAGGCAAAAGACACTCTGGGTGTTTTGTTCTGCTATGTTAACATGACTGGAAGTGAAAATCCATCCCCAGAGCTCCGCATTGCCCATGTTCATGGGCACTGAATCTTGCCAAAGGGGAGGCAGCTGTTTCCCTCAGTTATTGCTTGTGTGATGGGGACATTTAATGAGATTATGTGCATTGGAGGGTAAACATGAGTGCTTTCCCCTCTTTCTTTTCCATCAGGGGCGTTGGGTGGTATCATGGTTTCTCCCACTGTTTCTTAGTCAAACTTTGGACAGGGCTGTACCTGAGAATTGAAAGGGGGGAGGGGTTGATACATTTGATGATAATGCTTCAGACCCTCTGCTTCTCTGCTTGCTTTGGGAACTCTGTAAAGATATGCTTCTGTTTTGCTAGGCAAGCAGCACTGGGTGCACAAGATTCAACTTGCTGTATTTCAACTGCCTTTAATTGCTTAATAAAAAGACACAGCTAACAATGTGTGAGAGAGAGCGAGGTGGGAGAGAAGAGAGTACAGCAGCGGAGGATGACCTGGCAACTGTTCAAAAACCAGAATTAGTTTGAATGGGAGTGTGTGGCTATTGGCAGTCATGTTCCATAAATAACTCCTGATTTTATGGGCACAAATGCCCCTGGGGAGGAGGGTCTGAGGTATCTCCTGGCAAAGGGACTGGGAGATTTCTGCCTTTGGCTCATCTTTGACCAAGAAGGGCAAGCTATAATCTGTAGCACACAGGCAAATTTCCCAGAGTGACAGCTTGAAGGTTTTATCCCTCTGGCTGGAATGTGTGTGCTTACCAAGAGATATGCAGGGCCATCCGTTTTATGCTGAGTGGCATGTGGTACAATTTTTGAATTAGCTGATGATTTGAGGGGCACCAGAAGCCAAATTGAAACCCTTCTTCCCTGAAAAGGCTGCATTCTGTGTTTGCAGGCAGCATCATTACCGATCCTTTTCCAGCATATAACATGGGGATTTTATTTCCTATGGTGATTGCTTCAATTTGGAGAGCAAGATAATTTTCTTTTGGAAAAAAAAAAGATAAGCAGGCTGGATAATGCTCAGAATTTGTTTTTCCTTTATACAAGGCACATATGTAGCTGGATATTAGCGCTGATTTCTCCTGCTGTGTGGCTGCAATATGATCACTTGCTGACAGGCTTCAGGGCATAACTTGCACCTGCTACGTAAGATGATGTTTCCATATAATAAACGTTTGCCAGGAGCCAGACGGGTTTGGCCCCAGTTCTCATTCAGGTGTTAATTCCTCTACCCAGATTGTAACAAATCAGACTGTAGACGAGAGTACTCATCAAACTACACCACACAAACGTCCCCATTCTGTACCTGTCGTAACAGCTTTTAATGGACAAATATATAATCACTGATAGGTTTGAGTGGTACAGTATCGACCTCCATGAAAGTTGTGTCTTCATGTTTTCCCATTCTGATGAGTACTGCATTGGTAAAAAGACATTTCCGGGAATTAAGGGCTGACAAATGGATTAAGTTTTATGTATAGAACTAGGAGGAACATATCTTGGAAAGCGGTTATTACTTCACTATGCCATGCATGAACTGTCTCCATCTATCCATCACTTTGTTTATCTCCTGTTTCTCCTCACCGAAAAAGTGGTAGAGATACAAAAAAGGATAGGACAGCCTTCCAGGTTCCCATGAACCAGTGTAGCTCCCAACTCATGTATGTTCTGCACCCTGTTCTCGAATTAGTTCTAAGATTTCCAGTGGAAATGTATTAGGTAAGATACTCTTAAAGGAAAAGACAAGTCAGGTCATTTTAGTTTGTTGAATTCCATAGATCAGGGGTCCTCAAACTTTGTAAACAGAGGGCCAGGTCACAGTCCCTCAAACTGTTGGAGGGTCAGATTATAATTTGAAAAAAACATATGAATGAATTCCTATGCACACTGCACATATCTTCTTTGTAGTGCAAAAAAACACTTAAAAACAACACAATAATTAAAATGAAGAACAATTTTAACAAACATAAACTTATTAGTATTTCAATGGGAAGTGTGGGCCTGCTTTTGGCTGATAAGATAGGATTGTTGTTGTTGTGTGCTTTCAAGTAGTTTCAGACTTAGGTTGACCCTGAGTGAGAGCCAGGTAAATGACCTTAGAGGGCCGTATCCGGCCCTTGCGCCTTAGTTTGAGGACACCTGCCATAGATGGAAGCGAGGCCAAATGCCCCCTTACTCATCCATATGTATTTGTTGTAATTGTTCTATTATCTCTTTTTTTTTCTTCAGATGGAGTCTCCAGTGTCCACTCCCGCAGTGCTTCCATTGCATCTTCTTGTCCCTGTTGTCAACAGTGATATATCCTCACCATGCGAGCAGATAATGGTCCGCACTCGCTCTGTAGGGGTTAATACGTGTGATGTGGCCCTGGCTACCGAGCCAGAGTGTTTGGGCCCCTGTGAACCTGGCACCAGCGTCAATCTAGAGGGCATCGTGTGGCAGGAAACAGAAGACGGTAGGTGTCCTTAAGTCTGTTCATTGCTAGGTCAGTGCTGGCTTTAATGCAGTTTCTCCAGCCCAGTTTTGTGTAACATGGGGAATAGTCAAAACATGTGCCAGAAGACTCTGCCAGGTACTCTATACTTGGCCTTGTTACTCTTTTTTTTTACTTTAGAAATTAAACCACGCTCAATTCTGCATATAAATTATAACATACCATTGTCCAGGGCTTGGTAAATTAGAATATTGTTTCAACTAGAGCAGACATGGGCAAACTTTGGCCTTGCAGGCGTTTTGGACTTCAACTCCCACAATTCCTAACAGCCGGTAGGCTGTTAGGAATTGTGGGAGTTGAAGTCCAAAACACCTGCATGGCCAAAGTTTGCCCATGTCTGAACTAGAGCTTTGATAAATCCTTGCCAGCAGTTGTAAGGCTGCTAATTGAGTTACACGTTGTGGGCAACAGATTCCCTATTCCTGCTTATATCCTTGATTTGTTGCTTTGAACCTTGTAGGTTTATGTACACTTTGTTTTTACTCTTTCTTTAGTGTATGTTATTCTCTGTTCAAGAGCAACAGAAAGTATCTCTTGAGCCAAGGACCATTTTATCTGCTCAGAATTTAGTGCCTTGTTTGAAGTTTGCATTCCGTCTGCTACTCAGCTTTGCATTTTCTAAACTCCTATTTCAAAACCATTGTTCAAATATAGGCTCTATGAAATTGGTTTTAGATGTAGAGTGTATGTTTGCCAGATGCGTAAGTAAGTGTGCTGTACTTGGAAAAAATGAATTCATCTTTTAAAAAATTGTGTTGCATTTTTATGCAAACCACTACCACCGCTATGCTGTTGCTTTCACTCCTGAAGAAACAAGGTTTCCAGGCTACTTAGCCACCCTGGCTACTGGCTACCTAACAGACAGCCTCTCTAGTTATTGGCAGGTAGCCAGTTGGAACAGAGAAGGAGTCAATTATCTGGAATGAGAGTGGTGCAAGGACAGTATCTTCACCTGTTAAGATCCAACATGATGCAGTGCCAGGCAGAGTGGAGTTGACAGATTCTAAGAAGTTATAATTTGAGAATGCAGTTAGACTGGCAAACATTCTTCCTTCATTTTCTGGGTTTGCACATGGGTATTTGAAGTTATCTGTGTTGAATTCCTCTGATTAACCAAAAAGCAAAACAAGTTTTCGGATCACTGCACATTGAATCACTGCCCTTTGTTCTGTTTCTGGTGTTGCCTTGATCACATGCTCCCACCTCTATTTTTATTCACTTTTTCTTTAACATTCTTCTTCTTCTTCTTCTTCTTCTTCTTCTTCTTCTTCTTCTTCTAATAATAATAATAATAATAATAATAATAATAATAATAACAACAACAACAACAATAACAACAACAACTTTATTTATACCCCGCCACCATCTCCCCAAGGGGACTCGGGGCGGCTTACATGAGGCCAAGCCCAACAAAATACATCAGTAAAAACAACAAAGCAAGCAAGCAAATAAAACACAATGCAATGTCATAAAATAACATAAGCAATAACACACAAAAGATTTAAAACACTGTGGGCAGGGCCGGATGTAGTAGATTAAAAATTTAAAATACTGGGTGTGCACAGAAGTAGGGTATCTAAACAGGGGGGTTTTAAAGGATAATGTAGGGAAATCAATCCAGCGGGTAGATAAAGTGCTTCAGAGGACATATTGCAGAAAATTGGTCAGATCATGGCATTGTTTCCTTTATTCAGGGAAGGCACACTGGAATAGTCTCGTTTTCAAGCTCCTCCTAAAGGCTGCCAATGTGGGGGCTTGTCTGATATCATTGGGGAGTGAGTTCCAGCGATGGGGGTCCACCACCGAGAAGGCCCTCTCCCTCGTCCCAACCAATCACGCCTGTGAAGGGGGCTCTGTCTCTCGTCTCCGCCAAACGTACTTGTGACAAAGGCGGTAACAAGAGCAGGGCCTCAGCAGATGATTTTAAGGTCCTAGATGGTTCATAAGGGGAAATGCGTTCGGACATGTAAGTTGGGCTGGAACCATTTAGGGCTTTATAGGCTAAAGCCAATACTTTGAATTGTGTCCAGTAGCAAACTGGCAGCCAATGGAGCTGGCGCAACAGAGGAGTTGTACGTTCCCTGAGCACCGCTCCTGTTAGCAATCTGGCTGCCATTCGTTGGACCATTTGAAGCTTCTGGACAGTCTTCAAAGGCAACCCCACGTAGAGCGCGGTGCAGTAATCTATACGGGATGTAACCAGAGCATACATTCTCCTGATGTTTCACCCACATCTATGGCAGGCATCCTCAGAGGTTGTGAGGTTTTATTCTTATTTACTCAATTAGCTCAAGTTTCGTCACCCTAACTTAAACCCATTATTTGGTCAGGAAATCCTATATGATGGCAAGAGGATGTATGAAAACTCTTTTATCTTCATTTTTTTTATCAAGTACATGTTGCAAAAGAGATTGCTGTGCAGGGGATATGTTTAGGAGACTTGTTTTTACAGAAGGTCACAATGGTATGAGATATGTGTATGATTCCATTGTGTTTCATGGTAATAGCAGCAATGACAGCCATAATATATATCTCTCATCGCAAACACATGTCCATTTTTCTTTTGCACATGTTTCAGAGAAGGCTACTTTGGGAGGCCGATGGGGGCATGACACTTGTCTTATGGCTGCTGGCTTCCATCCTTCTTGCTGTCTGGCTGTAATGGTTTTTTGCAGCCTGTCTTTCCGTGTTAGTCTTTTATAGAACAGCTATAATTTCAGATCTTGCCTAGAAGGTATTCTGTAGGATTCGCTACTTAGCTATTTTTAGCCCACGCTCATTCAGTGAATGTGTGCAGAGATCTTGCCTGCCGGGCTACACTGACTGCTGCATGGTCCCTGCTGTCAGAAGTAATACATCTTTCGCTTCAGAGGCTTTGCATCCTTAGATCAGTTCTGAATATCACATCACCAACTGACTGTGTGCAGGTTCTGGTTGTTTACGTAGCAAGAGCTTGGCTCCCTGGCTTTTGCTTCCAACCCAGATTACAATGGCACTTGGATTCCCAGGTTACTATTTACAATTTTAGAGTTGAAAGATACTCCATTTATGCAATTTTTGTTGTTAATACAGAAAAGGATGTACTGGCTGCAAATGCTGTGATTTAGTTCCTGGGTGTCCTCCTGGACTTATCACTTACGGTTGAAGCTCAGGCGTCGGCGGTGGCCGGGAGGGCCTTCGCACAATTAAGACTTGTGCGCCAACTGCGGCCGTACCTCGTGAAGTTGGATCTGGCCAGGGTGGTCCATGACTTAGTCACCTCCAGATTGGATTTCTGTAATGCACTCTATGTGGGGCTGCCCTTGAAAACTGCCCGGAAATTTCAATTGGTACAACGGGCGGCATCCAGGTTACTAACTGGTGCTTCTTACAGGGAGCGGTCAACCCTCCTGTTTAAGGAGCTCCACTGGCTGCCGTTCATTTTCCGGTCCCAAATCAAGGTGCAAGTTCTTACCTACAAAGTCCTAAACGGTTTGGGACCTGCCTACCTCCGTGACCACATTTCTGTGTATGAACCCACACGACCTCTTCGATTATCTGGAGAGGCCCTGCTCATGCTCCCACCTCCTTTGCAGGCGCGATTGGTGGGGACGAGGGAGAGGGCCTTCTTGGTGGTGGCCCCTCGACTCTGGAATTTACTTCCTAAGGAAGTCAGGCGTGCCCCAATGCTGGCAGTCTTTAGGAGGAGCCTGAAAACGTGGTTGTTCCAGTGTGACTTCCCAGAATAAGGAAAACTCTTAGCAATATGTCCTCAAGTGCACTTTAATATTGATTTAGGATTGTCTGCATGCCCTCATCTTTCTATGAAAACCCTATCCTAGTTTACCCTACCTTGTTCATGTCCAGCATTTTAAATTTTAAATTTTAATTATTACATTTGGCTTGGCCATAGGTTTCAAATGCTGTATGTTATTGTTTATTGCTTATTGTGTATTTTCTGTTTTTGAGTTTGTTTTAACTGTTTTGTCTTGATTATTTGTTATCGCCTTTGTTTATTGATGTGCTGTGGGCTTGGCCTCATGTAAGCCACACCGAGTCCCTTGGGGAGATGGTAGCGGGGTACAAATAAAGTTTTATTATTATTATTTGCTTCAGTTATTATTAAAAGAAATTAAGGAAGATCTTTTGTTTTGTTAAAAGATCACTGTTAGGATTACAAGCACAACAAACAAACACAACAAAATAGTTCTCTTTACTCTATGTAATGCTCTTACTCTCCAAACATCCACACTTAATTGTGCTACTTTCTGTTCAGGCAAGGAGAAGTCAACATAAAATTAACATTATTAACAAGGCAAGGAATAGTCATTACAATATTTCCCAAGGACAGATAAAATCTCCTTGTTTCAGCAGCATTTACTAGTATAGACTGTGGTACCTAGTCTGCCACTCCTGTAACAGTTAACTAGTATGGCTGGTTTATGAAACGAGAGTGCAAGGCTTCTCCTGCTTCGCTCTAGGATTGCCCATTAATTTGGTTTTCTGCAGCAACTAAGATCAGGCAATAAAAAGGAAACTAAACCGGGTCTCTCTTTTTCGCAGTGCCACAAATGACCAATTCCAGTCGTTCTCTGCAATTCTTTTGTGGAACTGTGTGGATGGTTGTAGTAGGGGTACGAGATGATATTTATCCAACTGAAAAGGAAGACTTGCTTCTGCTTCAACCACGGTTTCTTTATTTATATATCACTAGCCGTCCCCTGCCATGTGTTGCTGCGGCCCAGTCTGTGTATATGTGTTTTGTGTGTGTATATGTTTGTATATATGTGTGTTTGCGTGTGTATGTATATGGGGTTTTGTGCATGTGTTGTAATGTATTTTTATTTTTTTGGCTGTGTTTTCAGTGTTTTTATGAGTGACGGTCACTCGTTGGCCTGATAGGTGTATTGTGTCCAAATTTGGTGTCAATTCATCCAGTGGTTTTTGACTTATGTTAATCCCACAAACAAACATATCATAGA